CCCTGTTGTCTGTGTCCATTGGTTAGGCCCGTGGTCGGCAAACTGCAGCTCGAGAGCCACATGCGGCTCTTTGGCCCCTTGAGTGTGGCTCTTCCTAAGCCTTAGGAGCACCCTAATTAAGTTAATAACAATGTACCTACCTATATAGTTTAAGTTTAAAAAATGTGGCTCTCAAAAGAAATTTCAATCGTTGTACTGTTGATATTTGGCTCTGTTGACTAATGAGTTTGCGGACCACTGGGTTAGGCCTATATGCTTGCATATAAGTCCTTTGGTTGATCTCTAAAATTGTGTGTGTATTTTGGTAAATGCTGGGAAAACTATACACTAGTATGTATGTATACACTGGATGGTGGTTTTTATGGGTGAGACATTTTTCTTCCTAGTTTTCAAAATTTTAATAATATGGTTATATTATTTTTATAGTGAAATTTTTTTAAATAAAAGCTCTTCAAAGTACAATTACAATCACATGGCATTATGATGAGAATCTTCCCACCTAAAAACACCAGGACACATGGCCTGGCTTATGGTCTGGCCATAAGTCCCAGGGTTTTTGAAATTGTAATTATTCCCCCAGATCTAGGACTCAAACATATACATAAACTGGCCATTGATGGCTATAAGCCAGACATGAGTAGGACCACTCAGCTGTATTTTTTAAAAATATATTTTATTGATTTTTTACAGAGAGGAAGGGAGAGGGATAGAGAGTTAGAAACATTGATGAGAGAGAAGCATCGATCAGCTGCCTCCTGCACACCCCCTACTGAGGATGTGCCTGCAACCAAGGTACATGCCCCATGACCGGAATTGAACCTAGGACCCTTCAGTCCGCAGGCTGATGCTCTATCCACTGAGCCAAACCAGCTAGGGCCACTCAGCTGTATTTGAGGCAACCCCCTCCGGACACTATGTTGTAGGTGACTCAAGGCCATAGTCCCAGGACAGTACAAGCTGTCAGAGGACCAAATAAAATCGATACCTTGCTGTGGCTAAAACAATGCGTCTTTTCAGCAATGGTCCCCACCCAGGACACTTCTGTGTTCATAGCATCCTCATTCCATACAAAGGAAGCCCCATCAGCCCCAACTGAGGTGAACACTGGGACAATGGCATGGTAATGTCATGGCCATGATTTAGAAGGTTTTCAGAGGGGCGCACAGGAGCACATTCTGCTGCTTTTCTCCTCTGCTGGAACATTCTAGAAAAGGAGACTTCCTCCCCGCCCTGCATTGAGTCGAACATCCAAGGTGGTGCCTGGACAGTAAGCCAGACGTCATTGTTGTTCTCGTTCTCTCTCTCTCTCTCTCTCTCTCTCTCTCTCTCTCTCCCCCCCCTCCCAGTACATAAACTCCAAATTAAGTCTTAATAAAAAGTTACTGCTGAATGCCCTAAAGATTCGTTCATTCAGTCATTTGTTCACTTGCTAAAGGGTAATGAAAACAGGCCCAGTTTATTACATCCTGGTATTGACGAGCACAGAAAAACATCCCTCTCCTTCCAGTTTATAGGCTCGATCAGAGTTCACAGGAGTTGCTGGAGAAGGTGGGGGTCTGTGGACTTCGGACCTGCTGATCAGTGTGAGACGGGCCACACGTTCCTTGGGGAGTAGGGCTGGAGGGAGGGGGGTCCTTGGGGAATTGCTAGCAAAAGTGGTCTTCATGGGCGTGCCCCCAGGGAGGCCTTGGGAGGCTGGTGCCTCCTGGTGTGCTGAGATGAGGTGGACATTTAGAAGGAGGTTTAGAAAGAGGAAGTAGACACAGAGGGCAAGCATCACTATTAGACAAGTCTGTGTCTTGAGTGAGGGGCAGTAAGACTGGCTTTTTCTTTCGGAATCCACCGCTGGAGTTTGGCCTACCTTTTGATTCGGCTAACAGGAGAGTGTCCATGGCCACCTGCCTAGGAAGCTTCCTAGAATTTTATTTATTTATTTTTAAATATATTTGCATTGATTTCAGGGAGGCAGGGAGAGGGAGAGAGTGATAGAAACATCAATGATGTGAGAGAATGATCGGTCGGCTGCCTCCTGCACACCCTACACTGAGTATCGAGCCCACAACCTGGGCATGTGCCCTGACCGGGAATTGAACCGTGATCTCCTGGTTCATAGGTTGCCCCTCAACCACTGAGCCACGCTGGCCGGGCCCTAGCCATTTATTGAGCAGATTTCTTGGATGCCTGAGAGCTGATGCTTACCTAGCATTAGTCTGAGCACTTTCCTAAGTATTGGACCTGAGAAGGATGTCCTCAGGGTCGGCAGGAGCTGCGAATTGCTTATCCTGCCAGAGACTTAGACGAGTACAGGCTCCCTCTTCACCCACTGAGCTCAGGTCTGTTGGCCTTCGGGGGGCCTAGCTGTCCTGTTCTTGTCTTTGAGAGGATTTCTGGAGTGTACAGACCTAGTGACGCTCAGCAGCCTAAAACGCTTTGTTCTTCTGAAAAAACGCTTTGTTCTTCTGAAAATAAGAAGACTGTCTGTCCTCTCTGCAAGCGTGGCTGTGAAAAGGAGCCATCCGCGTTAGTTCTAGCTGATCCAGCACAGTCTCTGCATCTTAGTTCATCGGGAAAACCGAGGGAATCGGGTGTGAGCTCCACTGACTCCTCCCCGTAGACGTCTCCATGGGACCACCCTCCCCTGCCTGCCTGAGGCTCAGAGAACGGGGTCCCTCCTGCCTGCTTTGGGGGCTCGCCTCATCAGACACATCAGGTCTTGGCAGAGGAGAAATGGCTGCAGAGCAGTGCTAGGGCTTAACTGAGGGGTGTGGGCAGCGTAAGACAGGGCCCTTGGGCACAAGCCACAGCGGGGAGCCTTCCCTACCAGGCTTTGGGGAAAGGGAAGAGCTGGCACGGTGAGGGGGGGGGATGCCTGAGGGAATGGGGACCTTAAAATGAGGGGAGTGGAGTTGTGTCTGAGAGTGGCAAGCCTTGCCTCTCTCCTCTTGCCCATTAGTTGTGTCCAGAATTATGGGAGACGAAGGGCAAGGAGCCGGACTGGGGACTAAAACATACTGAATACTGGCCCAGCCGGTGTGTCCAGGGAGTCACAGTTCAATTCCTGGTCAGGGCACATGCCCGGGTTGCAGGCTCAACCAGTGTGGGCCGGTGTGTCCAGGGAGTCACAGTTCAATTCCTGGTCAGGGCACATGCCCGGGTTGCAGGCTCAATCCCCAGTGTGGGGCGTGCAGGAGGCAGCCGGTCCATGATTCTCTCTCATCATGGATGTTTCTATCTCTTGCTCCCTCTCCCTTCCTCTCTGAAATTAATAAAAACATATATTTAAAAAGAGAACATGCTGAATACTGTGGGCAAATGTAATGTGCTATGACATTACAATGGTTATGATTTCACTAGGCGATAGGAATTTTTCAGCTCTGTTATAATCTTACTAGAGGCCCGGTGCACGAATTTGTGGGGGGGGAGGGGTGCGCTGACCTGGGGGAGGGGACGCTGGAGCTTGGCCGGCTAGCCCCACCCCCATCGAGCCAGTTGGCCGGCCTCAGTGCACATCATAGCAACCGGTCATTCCGGTCGCTTGGCTTTTATATATATAGATGGGAGCTGTGTTTTACTAGTATATGTGGTCCCTCGTTGACTCAGCTGTCATCATGCAGCGCATGATTGTATTTGCTCAGTGTTACTTTCTCCCACTTGATTGTAAATTCCGCGAGGAGTGTGTTTCCTCACCATTGACTCTACAACAACAATGCTTGATTCTTAGCGGGCTCTCAATATACATTTGTGGATGGAGTGGATAAAAGCAACCTTCTTACTCTAGATAACGATGGGACTTTTATTCTTACAATGTCCAAAACCAAGTATCATTCGTTTTTATTTAAGCCACTTCTATGCCATTCACGCCAAGAACATCTTGGTCCTTAGGCAGTGGATTCTGGAGGGAACCTCAGGGAGTTTTTTCATAGTCTCATTGTGGAAAAACAGCAACGAGAGCACTCAATTCGTCTTTCTCTTTCTCCCATTCTCCTCCCAAATACCAGAGCAGAACTAGGACCAGTGATGTGGACCGGAGACGATCCAAGCAGAGGCACCAATGCATTGGCGCCTGTGGGCTCACCTGCTAGCATCATGACCATCTAGCCCCAGCCCTTAGAGATTAAAAACAAAAATGCAGTGGGGGCACACACGGCTTCATGTTCCTGGGCCCAGCTGGGCCTGGAGAGGTGGTGCTGGGCTCCGGTCTACTGGTCTACCTGAGCAGTGCTGCCCACTGCTAGAGGCTTGGGATGGGAATATGTGAAGCTTTGGGATGGGAGGCCCAAAGTACCCCTGAGTTGTTAGCACAGAATTAATAAGGGTGCCCAATGCCCAACCTTCTCTGGGACACTTTCTCCTCTCCATCCCCCCCTCAACCCCCTACCTCTTCTCCTTTAGTCTGCTATGGAGGAAAGGATGTGGCTGAATACACCTCAGGTTAGTTGTTTCCAGATATACAGAGGGAGGGCATAAAAAGGAAGCAAACTCCTTTTCTTTTTCTTTTTTTTAATATATCTTTATTGATTTCAGAGAGTAAGGGAGAGGGAGAGAGATAGAAACATCAATGATGAGAATCATCGATCGGCTGTCTTCCGCACGCCCCTTACTGGGGATCGAGCCCACAACCCAGGCATGTGCCCTTGACCAGAATCGAACCCAGGACCCTTCAGTCCCCAGGCCGCTGCTCTATCCACTGAGCCAAACCAGCTAGGGCGCAAACTCCTTTTCAAGTGGTAATGCCAGCCCCTCTGTCTACTCTAGACAGAATGGTACCCCGCCATGAAAAGGGTCCATAGGACACTGTCAACTCATCATCTTTGGCCAGGAATGAAGTTAGTGACTACGGAGAGGCCAAGGGCCTGGTGGCCTCATGTCCTCAGCATACTTGTCTCCTCCATAGCAGGCCCACTGCGCCCCATCGCAGAGGAACTTAGAGCCGGCCCATACCCAGGTGGGGATGGACGACAGCCTCTGTTGGTCTATAAAACATATACCTTTTTTTTTTCTTTTGGTGGAAAATGAGGAAGTGGAATTGAACGTGACCTTTGGAGTCAGGCTGACCTGGGTTCCTCTCCTGGCACTGCCTCTTCCCGGCTGTGTGTTACTCAAACTTTAGCTTCCTCTTCTGTCAGGTGAGGAGAAAAGTGCCCCCTAACCAAGTAGGGGAGAGGATCCACCGAGTGCCGTGATCTGGGACACGGCTGGATCCCCTGTGTCTGGATTCGGAGGAAGAAAAAGTTCGGAGTCTGCACTGGGCCTGGGAAAGGAGGCAGGGGTGTGAAGATCAGATTCTGACAGCTCCGCCAGCCAGCGCGGGGCCCCTGGCCTCCGCCCTCAGCCAGGGACCGGTAGGGGCCTGCTACCCAGAGAGCTGGCTTTGTTTTGATCCTGCGAAGTAAATAAGCCACAGGGATGGCTCAGTGTTTGGGAGTGGCCTCCTTTAGTCATGCGCTGGGTCACCTGGCCCAGGCGAGGCCCCAGTCTCGGCCCACACGGTGTTACTCACGTTTGGAAAGAGAACAGCTTTCCTTTTCGGGGGAATGTGGGTGCCATGACCACCGGGAGGACACACAGCGCCCACGCTGCTCAGGCAGCTGGTGGTTGCCTGTCCGAAGTCAAAAAGGCTCAAGCCACTGGTGTCAGACCCAGAAGGGACGTATTTGCCCGCGCTAGCCAGATGGGACCATCAGAATCGCTTCTCCCTCTCCGCCGCTGAGAGAGCAATCTGTCCGCCTGCCTACCAGCCCCTCACCAGGCCACGCTTCGGCTTTTCACCCGAGAAACGTTCTCAGTGGGCAGAATAGCCGGGCTCTGTAATTCCACCTCTGCCTCCACCGTCACCCCTGGGTAACTCGAGGCCGCCAAAGGAAACATACATTATTCAGGGAATGCGAGCTGGGCGGTCCCACGCCCATAGCGTGTATCATGCACACATCCAAGAGGTGTGTGTGTGTTGCCGAGGCTGAGTTTCGTCTTGTTGCAAACACTTGGAGGCTGACAGTCATTGGAGGAAGATGCCCCGGTGACACTCCTCTTGTAGGAAACACACACCCACAATGTGGTGGGCAGAGTTCAAGCCAATGACGACTCTACCTAACCTATCCTCTTAGGCCTCGCAAGCTGGTTCCACAAGGTTCTAAATAAGTCACCCAGTGGTGGGCGGACATTATCTTCTGGGAACTACTCCCAGGCGCCCGAAACACCAATTGAGAATGAGCAAGGCAAGTTCCCAAGTCGCTCTTTAGAGCGACAATGATACTTCACTCTATGCCAGTGGTCGGCAAACTGCGGCCCGGCAGTCCGCGGCTCGCGAGCCACATGCGGCTCTTTGGCCCCTTGAGTGTGGCTCTTCCACAAAATACCGACTTCTGCGCATGGGCCACGAAGTTTCAATCGCACTGTACGTGCGCACCCACACGTGGTATTTTGTGGAAGAGCCACACTGAAGGGGCCAAAGAGCCGCATGTGGCTCGAGAGCCGCGGTTTGCCGACCATGGCTCTATGCTGATCACACATGGATTTTTGGTGTGACTTATAAACCATAACAGGTTGTTGGTTAGCAATCCAAATATATGCAGAACCATAAAGGATATGATACTTATCCCTCCTTTATTTTTTAATTTTTATTTTTTAAATATATTTTATGGGTTTTTTACAGAGAGGAAGGGAGAGGAATAGAGAGTAAGAAACATCGATGAGAGAGAAACATCGATCAGCTGCCTCCTGCACACCCCCCACTGGGGATGTGCCCGCAACCAAGGTACATGCCCTTGACCAGAATCGAACCCGGGACCCTTCAGTCCGCAGGCCGACGCTCTATCCACTGAACCAAACCGGTTAGGGCCCTCCTTTATTTTTTGCTATAATATTATTGCCCTGGAGTGAAGGGGGCAGGTATGAGAAATGTTTACGTAGAGTCCACGTCTCGTATGGCCTGTGCATTCTAGATTCGTGCTTTGGCACCGATGCTAACCACACAGATGCCAATTAGGAAACTCAAATCCAGTCATTACTCAGAGATTAAATATTTCAACACGGTGTCTCAAACTATAATTAAAGGCAAAGGCAGTGAGCCCCACTGCTGGGCGGGCAGAAGCCCAGAGGGGCAGGCACCTACCTTAGGGCTTGTTCTCATCTCCAAGACAACCTACTGCCCACGTGATCGACGTGTTCACAGCATTTCCCACCTTACAACACAACCGAGTAGAAGCCCATAACATGATGCATTTGGGAAGCGGCCGAGGGACGAGGGAGGAAGCAGGTAGAAAAAGAGAACCAGGCTGAGGGCGAGGCCTCTCCTCTCCCAAAAAAGGTGAAGTAAGGAAATGAAATCACGGAAGTCCATAGTGTGGGTCCCATTTTAAGGGGCGGCACAGTTCAATTTTGACCCACATTTTTGCTTTTTGTACTCTGTTGTGGCATCCAGCTCAAATCATAGCTGTAAGAGTATAAAGGATACACACAGTGTGCGCATATCTTGAGCACATACTCATGAAATCCATTACTTTATGAATGTCAAGGTTGCTGTCATTTTTACAAATGATGGGCCATATATAACAGAGATATAGATATAGATATAGATATAGATATAGATATAGATATAGATATAGATCAGTGATGGCGAACCTATGACGATATAGATATAGATATAGATATAGATATAGATATAGATATAGATATAGATATAGATATAGATATAGATATAGATATAGATATAGATATAGATATAGATATAGATATAGATATAGATATAGATATAGATATAGATATAGATATAGATATAGATATAGATATAGATATAGATATAGATATAGATATAGATATAGATATAGATATAGATATAGATATAGATATAGATATAGATTTTGTTTTACTATGGTTGCAAATATCAAAAAATTTCTATATGTGACATGGCACCAGAGTTAAGTTAGGTTTTTCCAAAATGCTGACACGCCGAGCTCAAAAGGTTCGCCATCACTGATATAGATATATAGAAAAAAAAAATGACTTGTTGAGTTAAATTTAAAAATTCCATTTTCTGTCACCTAAACATTTGGTCAACTATCTTCTTGTGGTTACATTCTTCTCTTTTTGGCCTGCTGTTTTGGTATCACTTAAGCACTTTTCTTTCTTCCTTCCTTCCTTCCTTCCTTCCCTCTTTCCTTCCTTTCTTTCTTTCTCCTCACCAAAGGATATTTTTTATATTGCTTTTTGGGGTGGGGGGGAGAGAGAGAGGGAGAGAGAAATATTGATGTGAGAGAGACACATCGATTAATTGCCTCCCGCATCAGCCCCAATACAGGCAGGGATCAAACCTGCAACCCAGGTACATGCCCTTGACCGGGAATCGAACCCACGACCCTTCAGTACGCAGGCCAATGCTCTAACCACTGAACACACCAGCCAGGGCTAAGCAGTTTCTTCAGGGTTGCTAAAAAATGTGAAAGAGTTAGTATAGGTAAGTGCTTAAAATCGCCATATTAGTGTGTACAATGACTATTTCTGACTCTAGAAATGGAGAGGACTAAGAATATTTTGAAATTGCCGCGAATAGTTTACTATATTTTTAATACTTATGCAGCACAGGCATTTCCAAATGTCGGGAAACACCACACATTTCAACAACACTTACCAGTATGTTGACGATTCAGAGAGTGGGGCAGACAGACAGATGGCAGGAAGCTATACTTACACCCACTGAGATTCACCCTGGTTAATTACTTTTTCTGACAGGAGCATGATATCACAGCATCCATAAGGGAAACTTGTTTCACAGGTAATATTATGAAGTCCATAGATAGTAAGGAACTTCCCTCAAACCCTTACAGACTTACTCCTACCTAAAAGGAATGTTCTTTTTAAGGGACATTTTACAAAGAAAAATGTCTAAAGTCCTTTCCGTCTTAGTCAGTATCCCCCTCGATTTTATTGTTGTAGGTGGGCATCATCATATAGAAAATAGCCAGCCACAATAGAATTAGACTCTATTTCAGTGACAAAAAAAAAAAATTGATTATAGTCTGGGTATTAGGAGAAACCAAGGAAGTACTGTTCTTTCTGTTAGGCTGATATGGACATTGTGGTCACATAAGAACATAAGTAATATATACATACTAGAGGCCCAGCACAGGAAATCGCACAGCCCCGCCCACTCGCGCGCGCCTCGCCTTGCTCACCTGGGGGCACCGGCGCCCAGGCTTGCTGTGATTGGAGCCTGTGGGCCGCAGGGGGGAGGGACTGAGAGGTGTTCCATGCACTCACTTTCTGGTGACTGGTCCTTTGGTCGTTACAGCGTTACGGCACTGGCTTTTTATAATATAGATAATTTTTTTTTGGTTTTGTTTTGTTTTGTTCATCCTTGCCCGAGGATATTTTTTCCATTGGTTTTTAGAGAGAGTGGAAGGGAGTGGGAGGGACAGAAGCATCGGTGAGAGGCTCATCAAACCCCAATATCTACTCACCTCCAAGCAGCGCTCTGAGAAGCATCGCTGTTCTTTGCGAACTTCGGCCGAAAGGGGCTTGAAAAGAGTCCAGGACTGACGGTGAGATTCCTGTGACTCTCAAACCCCCCCCCCCCCCATCCCACCGCATTTCCCAGCACCCTCTGCGTTTCTCAGACCGGGCAGGGCCTGCAGGGCTTCTCCTCTGATGGCGGTGGACAGGTGACTTCCCAACACTGCTTGGGGTTGTCTGGGAAAACAAGTTTACAATAAAACGGGAGGCGGTGGAAATGCCCACATAACGCTTGGCTTCTTGAGCAAAAGGGAAGCTGAGATGCTCCGGGTCCCCCTCCAGCAGGGAGGGGTGGGGCCCTGGAGCCGGCCTGGGCTGCTTCCCCTTGTTAGTCTCACTCCCGGGCTCCCAGGTGTCAGGATTCTGCTGCCTGTTACCTGGACAAACCTTCCTGTTGAAGTTACTGCCGTTCCAAGTCTGAGTGTGTAGATTCTGGCCTGTTCTTCAGGGAGCATATAGCTCTCTCTCTCTCTCTCTCTCTCTCTCTCTCTCTCTTTTTCTCTCTTTTTCTCTCTCTCTCAGGTAGAATAGCTCAAGTGGTCTGTTGATTCATTGCATATCTGTTGTGACCCACGCTACACAATGTTCCATCAACCCCTAAGCTCGGGTTTCTCTAGCCTCCGTTTTCCTGGATGACAACTCCCCTCTCTGCTTTATTCCGCATCCCTGGGGTTGACTTGGATTGGTACCGCTCGAGAAATCAGTCATCAACCATTAAAAAAAAAAAAAGTCTTCTGAATCCGTAGCTGTAACTGCCCGGGTTGGATGAAGAGAAAAGGGCTCCAGCACTCACACAGGCCCAGGCAGACATGGGCAGGGCTGTCATCAAGCAGTAAATCACCAGGTGCTGTTAGAGCAGGCCCCGGATGGGCTGGGGGTGCGGGGAGGGGGGAGTTGAATGTCCTCACCTGCCAACAGGAACGAAAACAAAAGGAAGAGCCCGGTCAAGCCTGACCAGGCAGGGCTTCTACCTGGCGTGACCACAGAGCCGGAAGCCCAGGGAGCCAGGGTTCTATGCCGCGCCAGATGCCAACTCCCTCCTCTGCAGCCAGATCAGGGCAAACGCTTCCTGGTTGGCAAGGAGCAACTTTGGTTTGACTCATGCAGTGAGATCAGAAGTCCTCGAACGGCTCCCACTGGTGTGCCAAGGAAGCCTGCAACTTCAGAAAACAACAAAATTCGCATACAGACTCCATTCCGGAGCCTGGATCAGAAGGTGTCCGTTTTTAATGTTTGCTAATCCTCACTGGGAGGATTTGTTTGTTTGTTTGTTTTGCATTGCTTTTCAGAGAGAGTAGGAAGGAGGGAGGGAGAGTGAGAGAGACAGAGGAGAGCGAGAGCAACATCCATGTGAGAGTGACACATCGATTGGTTGCCTCCTGCACCCGCCCCGACTGAGGGGCTGGGGATTGAGCCTGCAACCCGGGTCGGTGCCCTTGACGGGGAATCGAACCTGCGACCCTTTAGTGAGTGGGCGGAT